AGCTACTTTGATAATTTTGGAATAAACAGTCCTAGTTGTAAGAAATGTAAGCCAACTTAAATGTAATTATACACAGTTGTATGCGACATAAATGTGTTTATTTAACTAATACTAATACATACTAATAAATAAACACAAATAAACTAATACATACTACACAACTACATCAATTCTTACAAATCGTAGATGTTCGAAAAATAAACAAAATTTTTCTTCAGCTACAATGGTATGTAACATACGATATAGTTGCTGCCGTCTTACCACATTGTTCAACGTTTTCTACCTACGCAAAAATTTCGTGCTCCAAGTGATTGTAACTTGATTAGCTTTGTTATTGGCAAAATCAACAGCCTACTCGAGCTATCGTTGGTTCCCAGCGATATCAACGATTTTTATACGATAGGGAAGCAAACCAGTAACAAACCCATAATCCTGAAACTTGTGTCATACCTAAAGGAAAAATAAATCCTTAGGAACTGCAAAAAATTAAAAGGTACAAACGTCGCTATTGGTGTTGAACTCACTCCTGAAGAGAAAAAGGAACAAAAAATTTTGCGTCAGCAACTCAAGAAAGCAAGGAAACAAAATCAAAACGCATTTATAAAAAACAGAAAGCTAGTCGTGAATGGTGCAGAATTTACAGCCCACGAACTGATTGCTGATGAAAAAAGTTCAGACGAGGAAGAAGAAATCTTCAAGAAGGGTTCACTGTAGGTCAGAAAGCTGGTGCAGATGTTAATACACCACATGAAGTTGCTGAAGATCAAGCTAAAGGTAAGGAGGAACAAGATGTCTTTATAACAGAAATAGTTAAGAGTACAAGTAAAAGGAAGATAACTCAAAGTGCAGAGCCAGCCGCTAAGCATTTAAGACCTAGGATCAACAGTAATCCTACATCGAGCAAAAATAAAGACTCCAAACAAAACTGAGAGGGTGTATGGATGAAATCGAATCGAGTGTTTTTGGTGGTGCTGTGTGGATTTTTTTTTAATCTCCTATAATATTTATCATTTCCTTGTTCGCCATATTACTTTTTAACTCTTTTTAGTACATTATATTGTGTTATTTTGAAATTGTTCAACGTAATGTCTCTCATCTTTTGTCATCTAAACATCAGGTCCCTCACAGCCAAATACGCTTATTTTAAAGATGCATTTTTTAACAAGTATGATATCATAACACTATCGGAAACCTGGTTAAATAACAACATTCCTGATGATATCATCAGTCTCGAAGGGTATACACTGTATAGAGGTGATCGTCACCACAGGAGAGGTGGAGGTATAGCTTTATATGTCAAAAATCACCTTAAAAGCAAAGTTATAAATAATATTGAGTATCATGATACTGAGCAAATATGGATCACCGTAAGCTTTAACCAGAAAAATTTTGCTGTAGGATCTTTATACCGACCCCCAGATTACCCCGTGAACCAATTTATAGATAATTTGGAAGTAACGTTGTCCACACTTGCTCCTAATCATGATTATATCTTATGTGCAGGAGACCTAAACATCGACCTTTTGGATGACAATTTTTGTAGTACATAGCTACTAAACCTGGTAGACGTTTTGAATTTGAAGCAGATAGTTGAACAACCCACTAGATGTACACCTAAGTCCTCAAAGTTGCTAGATGTTATTATCTGCACAGATGAACTAAACATCTCGGCTATCGATGCATTAGACTGCTCTATGATATCTGATCATGCCCTAGTTTCATGTGAGGTTACACTTTCAAAGAATACTTTTGTACCTTTTCTTTACACATATAGAGACTTTAAACATTTTAATTATAAGCTTTTTACAAATCACCTGAATAATGTTGACATGAGTCCAATATATCTGCTTAAGGATATAGATATGAAAGTGAATTATCTGAATGAACTACTGTTAAATATTTTCGATTTCCATGCTCCTATCAGAACAGTCCGCATATCTAGAAAAAGGTCACCTTGGCTTACCTATAATTTGAAACAAATGATGAAACTAAGAGATAAGGCACTAAGAAAGTATAATCGTACAAAGAATCACAATGATTGGTTAGGCTAGAATATACTAAAGAACAAAATTAAGCACGCGATTAACAAAGAAAAGCAAGTATATTTTGAGCAACAAGTTGCATTAAATAAAAACCGCTTGTGGAAAGAACTCGGAAAATTGAATATACATAGTTAATAAAAAACAGAATTCACTACCTCAACACCTAGGAACTGCAAACCAAATCAATAACTTCTTCATGCAATCCATCTCGGGTGATAATAATGAACCTGATCAGTACACTCTTCGATTCTTCTCCGATACGCAACTCCCTCATGAAGCATTTGAGTTTTCGTACACTAATGACAATGAAGTATATCAAAAATTGTTTTCAGTGAAATCAACAGCCGTTGGTGCCGACGGTATAAGTATCAGCATGCTGCTGTACAGCTGTCCTACAATTTTACCATATCTCACGCATATTTTTAATTATTGTCTAAAATTCAATGTAATACCCAAAATTTGGAAGCTTGCACAAGTAATTCCCATACCAAAAAAGAGCAACCCTGAAGATGTGGGCGACCTTCGACACATCAGCATCCTATGTACTCCATCAAAGGTCTTCGAAATGATTTTGGATGCTAGAATGAGGGATTTTGTTGCTAAAAATGACATTCTTCCAGAAAACCAATCAGGGTTCAGATCAGGTCACAGCTGCACAACAGCCTTGCTCAAAGTAACAGATGATATCCGCAAATACATTGATGATGGGCGAAGGCTTTTGATAAGCTAAACCATGATCTACTGATTGCTGTTCTTCACTACTTGGGTTTTTCTAAAAGTGCGGTTCATTTATTAAGAAATTATCTCAAAGATCGGGCACAAGTTGTCAAATGCTTTGGTGAAACATCCGAATTGTCTAAAGTTTGTCGAGGTGTACCTCAAGGATCTGTTGTAGGTCCACTCTTGTACACTCTGTATACCTCTCAGCTGCACAAAAGTTTTAAACACGTCTCATATCACTATTACGCCGATGACACTCAATTATATATTGCTTTTAATGAATCAGATATAAACCGAACTTTAAGTAACATAAAAGAGGACCTTCAGGTTCTTTATCAGCTAACAAAAAAATATTGTCTCTCCGTCAACGCCACTAAATCTAAGGCTCTACTATTTGGTAAAAACAAGAATCGTGAACTATACTCCAATAATTTAGATATTTATTTCGGACAAGACAAAATAACTTTTACAAATTCCGCTAAAAATTTAGGGGTTATTATGGATACAGATCTACGCTTTTCCCAGCATGTCTCTCTTATAACCAAAAGGGCATTTTCATCATTGAAAATGCTATACAATAGCAGAAGCATAATAACCAAGACAACAAAAATAATATTGTGCGAGTCTTTAGTTCTTTCTCACCTCAGCTATGCAGACTGCGCGTACGGCCCGTCATTGCTACATCGAGATAAGGCGCGCCTTCAGCGTATTCAAAATTCTTGTGTCAGGTTTGTTAGTGGTATTAGGAGGCGGCAGCCGATATCTCTTCACTTAAAGAACTTAGGTTGGCTCAATATAGAGAAAAGAAGGTTCCTTCATCGATCCGTACTATACCACAAGATACTCAATGCTGAATCACCATCCTATCTTTACAAGAAGATCAAGACCCGTACAGAAGTGCATAGTCGTAACACGAGGTTTAAACATCATCTCTCACTACCTAAATTTAAAACTTCAAATTATAAGTGCTCTTTTTCATATGACATTGTTAAGGTTTACAACTCGCTGCCTGATAGAATTAAAGCCCTATCAATTTTGAGATTTAAGCGAGAAGTGAAGACTATGTTGAGACTTGAGATGACTTAAATTTAACACTGCACGCTGATTTGCCAATTATTCTTCTGTATGTCTTTTTCGTACTTTGTCTGGGCGGTCCGTAGGACCTTTGCCCATTACTCACTGTCTGATGTACGTTATTCGAATCTGTCAGTCCTGGTTGCCCAGAAACCAGACAGTCAAGGAGTCTTTTTCGTTTGATCTTTGACATTTTCCCTTCATACGATATTAGCTACAACTTCTAGCAATCTCATTCAAGCATCAACTCGTTTTATATTATAGGTTTTACCAAGGTGCCTGCAACAGTTATATGTCATCTATGGATGTATAATATAATATATAGTTTTAAAACATATGTCTATATGTATCTGTGTTAACGTTCAAATTTTCTCTTGCTGTTATCATTATTACTGATATACTACTTTTTTTTTTTGGTTAGGTGGAAGAGCGCGGATTGACAACTAATGCTTGTCAATCAAGCGAACTTTGCCGTTTGCTCACTGCATCAGATTTATGTACTTTTTCTTTTTCTGTACTTACATGAGCAATAAAAGCAATTTATTATTATTATATTATATTATTTAATAAAGGTAACCTAAAATAAAAAAGCAACGCACTATTTTAAACAAAAACATGTCCAGATAAAAAATGCCAGTTCTATGAGAAGCCTGGCACTCAGACTCACTGACATTTTTTTTTATGTTTGGAGTATAATTTGATACTGCCATTCGGATAAAAATATCCAAATGTTCATCTGTAAGTAGATAACAGTATTTGGTTTTAATAAACTTCATATTTGAAAAAGACAATTCACACAAATTGAGCTAAATAACGCTTTCACTTTCAAGGCAACACGACATAAAACTGAATATTTATCTTTACTTACTAAATCATTTTGAAACGCAATCATTTCAATATCTGTTGCAACGATGTCTTCGCTAAAATTCTGCGTAACAGAAGTTGCAAACTGTTGGATATCAATTTCCATGAAGAGTGAAACAACAAATCCTTCAAGTTAGGGACTATTCCTACATGATATTTACTGTCATATGGTTCTAACGGACTTTGAGATATCTTTTCTGAAATAACAGGAAAATGCCTGGTATCGCCATCGATTAAGTTTTGTTACCAAAACTCAAGCTTTTTGATAAACTCTTTTGAATCAGAAATCATTTCAGCTAGTTATTTGTCTCTCCCTTGAAGCTGCAAATTAAGTTCATTCAATTTTTCTGTAATATCCATAAGAAAACCAAAACCTCTAAGCAAGATTGAATTTTCCAGTTCCGGAATCCGTTCATCATGTTGTTTGAAAAACTGAACTATGGCCGATATGATATCATTAAAACGTTTCCGTACTCGTCCCCTATTTAACCATCGGACTTCAGAGTGACGAAGTAGTTCCCCGTATTGACAGTCAATTTCATCGGCCAAGGTTTTGAATAATCTTCTTTGTAGCGCTTGAGCTCTAATCTTGTTCACAATTTCTACTACCAATTGCATAACGTTGCTAAGTTTTAGAAAATGTCCACATAATGCTTGCTGATGGATAACGCAGTGGTAACAGAGAAATTGCAGAAAACTTTCATCTTTATGACATAACCCGACGAGACTCCATACACCATAGCTGGAGCGCCATCGGTTGTCAAGCCTACCATCTTCGATATTATATCTCAGAAGAAATAATATTTTTAAAAGAAGAAAACAATCCCTGCCCAGTAGTCGGTCCTTTTAGTGGAGTAAACTTCAAAAGATCTTCTTTAATCCTAAAATCACTAAAAGCATCCTGACGAACACGGCCATCTGAGAGGTGTCAACAGTGGCGCTCCCAGGATTTCAGTCTGGGAGGAGTAAAATAGAAAGTAAATTCTCAGTGCGACGTACTGAAGTGTTATAATGATTTAACATTAAAAGTATCGACATATGCAGTCATATGAATTTGTTACAGTCGTTTCTGTAGAAAATACGTACAGTTTTTTTAAATTTTGAATCATACGAAATCAAAGTGTAAAAAATAAAGCAAACCAAGCTCGAGCAATCTTCATATATTAAAACAAAATTGCAAAATAATATAATCTATCACAGACTTTACTACATAACAATGTCAGACAAAACAACAAAAAATACATCTTCATTAAAAAAATAACAATAACAAATATGTGATGACCTCTATAAAGTATAAAACTGAATGTAAATCAAAATAAAATTATTAATCATGACAAAAAATATTCATTGCATGACTACATTGTCTTAGCCAGTCTCAGAAAACACAGTCTCAAAATAAAACAATCATTACATTAGCTTAGAAAGTGATTTGAACAGAATTTGAACAGACTTATATCAATCTGCTCCCCAATAAATAAAGCTACATATCTTGATTGAATACTTTGGAAAAGATCACCGTGGGGAGATGGATTTGAGAGACAACCTTAGGAAAGTTCAGGTGTCATCATATTACAAAATCAAGGCGCCTATTCTTTTTGCTGGCGAACCGATATATGATTATATTCACGTCTATTTTAATATCCCTATGCATAACACAAAAGAGCTAAACCCACTAATCGCTCTTGTAACAGGGGAGCGCAGCCAAGTTTTTATCCTCTTTAGATGGGAGAAACTTCTTTCAGATGTCGCAGCATCTATTTATTGAAGGAAAAATGTTTTCATCACATGATAAATACAGTGGCATTCCACTGTCTATAATATCTTGTGTCCGTGACTTCCTAAGGTCAAATTCTGCTTTTAATCTGGTACTTATTAAATTTTTGTATTCGTTACTATTTAGTCCATGCAAATATTTAGAGATTGTTTCTAATATGTCCATTACTTCAGCTTCAGTTTTTGAATTAGAAACTGACACAAAGAAAATATTAAAATTGCATATATTCAAAGATTCTTCATTGAACCGGTATATCAAATCCTGTAATATATTATCTAGCAACGGGACATATAGATTCAGACTGTAATGATTTTGCTTGGCAGTCGTTACTATGTTCGGTCTGTTCATTTGCCTGCCTATTATTCTTGGCACAGTTAGTTCAATACCCAGGGTTTCATGTGATTTCATTATAGATGCGAATAGTATTCTAAAGTGTTTTTCGGAATTGCGCGTCTTTCTTGTATAACTGAAATAATATTTCCTATGAGTTTGACAGCGTATTGTTTGCCAATTGTTTTTGATTGTAAAATCTTACCTAGGTTGACTGTTAAAGCTAACATATCACACAAACACTTTAGTGATACGATAAATTGGGTGGAAGTAATGGCAGTCTTCAAAGACTCCGCTTTTGAAGAAGCTTCGCGGTCTTTCCAATTTGATATAATATTTAGTACCTCTACAATTTTCTCGAATTTGCTTTCAAATTGGAGCAAAGAATCATGCCTCTCGGTCCATTGTGTTTCGCACATACTATGAATTTGATATCCGTCTAGTTTTCTTTTTACTACTGTATTTCTTTTAGCGGATGCTTTGAAGAACGCTTCTTACTACTTGGACGCTGCCGCTTTTTAAAGTTACAGATTTTTTTAAAAGATGTTTACTTTATACCACCTTTTCAAAGACTGCTCAAGTCGTCTGGGGAGTAATTACCCCCTTTATCCCCCGTGGGAGCGCCAGTGGGTGTCAACGACATCTGTGGATTCATCCAGCTGCAGTGAAAAACTGTATTACATAACAAACATACATTTAAATCTTTAACTTCTGTAAAGAAATATTATTTTTCCCATTCCGAATGGAAACGGTATGTCTTCATCTTCTTACTACTGCTCATAATGTTTTTAATTGCAGGCCAACTCTAACCCAATCGCTGGACTTTATGCCATCCAGTTTTAAACTGAGCGCACTGTCGCTGCACCTTGCTCATTTATTCCGTTCAAAGTAATCGAGATCGTTCTCGAACAGATCGCTCACCGCAGTGTTGCCGCTGCTTGTGTTTATTATGAGAATTTACAAAATCTACGGAAGCTTCTATGATTTTTATACCTTTTAAAAATATGTTGTGAGCCGCCAGAATTGCCTTTGCGAGCTACCGGTGCACTGGTCTATAACAACAAGGAAATAGGTAATTTTTTCGTACGTGTCCATATCTTCAGATTATTGATTCCTAATGATAAGTTCAAATTGGCCTCATGATGAGGCTGGAACATTTGTCGCCAAATACGTTTAATCCATCGAATTTACGAGGGCGGTCCGATAAGTACTTACTACGTACTACAGAAGAAAAACCAAAAGTTTGGAAAAGTGTCAACGTATTTCTCAACATAGCCTCCTTTCAGCTCGATATACTTGACTCAGCGATGCACCAACTTCTTTAACCCGTTTGAAAAATACGTTTCCTGGAGGTCTGTAAAGTAGGCCTCCGTGGCGGCGATTCCTCCTCATTCGACTCAAATGTCTGCCCGGTGAGTGAGTTTTCCAAGTTTGGAATCAAAAAGAAATCGCACGGGGCAAAGTCCGGAGAATACGATGGATGAGCTTGTAGCCTAATTCGACCAATTGGGCCGTCGTGACGGCGGAGGTGTAAGCAGGTCCGTTGCCATGGTGAAAGAGCACTTTTTTCTTCACCTTCAATCGGCGGTCTGCCAATACGAGATCGTGGACTTTTGTCGCGTTATCCTCCGTGGTAGAGGTTTTCGGGGCACCTGGGCGTGGCTCATCAAAAACCGACGTGCGACCACTTCGAAACTCGTTAAACCAATTTTTGAACTTCGCCATCGAAGGATTGTACATAGCATCATCCAACCGTCATTTGTGAGTAGAAACATCTTTCAACTTATAATTTTCGTAGTTGACATTTAAGACTCGCAATACTACTGACAATCCTGAGGTTAGCTGAAAGTTTGTTATATATTCTGATGGAGATGTATTCCGCATGGGTATCACGTATCTTGAAAAGTAACATTATGCCGATTTTTTTGACATTATGCTGTTTTTTTGACATTATGTAGGTTATTCTACAAGATGTTAACTTAGCACTTAGTTGTACGTGTTGCCTAAAGGTCATGACATGAGGCTTGTTATCAGTCTTTGGCTTAGATGCGATGTAAAATCTGCTTCTGAGATGGCATTACTGTAGGTCTAAGCTGTAAGTTGTATGTGTTGATGATAATTACATTGGGTTCTTGTGTCAAATACTTAATTGAGATTCAAAGTTAGAAATTAGTTGCGTATCCACTTTTTCTTATCCATTCTGGAAATTACATATACAAATTTGCTGAATTTAAAAAATCAGAGAGATAAGAAATAATTATATTCACTGTACACTGTCGAATTACAAGCCATATACATTCAGTAATTACACACAACGCGGGCGCGGTGATGATTTCCCGTAATCTTCCTCAGTTTTTCGTAATTTATAACTTTGAACATAACCTCTCAAGCAAAACATATAAATAACCTGTCATATTCGGCATATTCAGTAATGATTTTCTCACACAGCAAATGTCACTGATTTTATACACATGCAGACCAATCATCCAGATGCGATCTTGCTATTCAACCAACTTTCTTCTCAGAGATAAAAACTACAGACGATCACTCAGCGTCACAAAACTATGCAACCAATAATGCGTAGTTTAGTTGAGTGATTCCTCCATAGATGGACGTTCACAACGATCCTAGTGAGCAAACTTGGAATGACTGTTTGCCCCATAAAAACTACCTAGTCTGCAAGTTGACATCTTATAGGTTTTTTTTGACGTTTTATAGGTTTTTACATGATACCCGTGTAGGTGACTTTGTGTGTGTGTGTGTGTGTGTTTTAGAATACTTAGTCTCTCACCTGCCCTTGTATTACAATGTGTGTTGATGTTTTTGTTCTGTATACATTTTGTTTTGTTTGTATGTGTGAAAAGGGAGTCATGATGTTTTTACTTCAGAAGATCTCTCTGCAGGGTTTTCATCTAAGAATGTTGAATATCAATCTGATTATTCTCTTCTGTTGAACAAATGCTCTAGAAATTGAAGTTGATTGCCCCCAAATTATGATGTTTCTTGGTAAATGTGAGTGGACAAGAGCGTATTATATTCACCTAGTAAAGCTGACGCTGATAAGCAAAACTTGAGCTTAAGAATCGCATAATAATATTGGTTCAACTTTCTACCAACTGAGCTTTGCGTCCATGTCTATTCCCAAGAATGTCGTAGTTTTAGATGTCTCATGACTTGCTAAAATTGGGGCGTTTGTATAAAAATGTACAACATCTGACTTTTCGAGGTTTAAAATCAAATGATTTGCTTGGCACCATCTTTCAATTTCACATTTAACTTCATTTATTTTTGCAATAATGTCATTGCGTGTAGTTCCACTGACAAGAACTAACGTATCATCCGTATAATTTGTTACAAATCCAGAGAGATGCAAATCACTTATATATAGAATGAATACAAGGGGTGCTAAAATTGAGCCATGCGCCGCGCCAATGTCGGTACTTTACGTTGCGGATGTAATTCCATTAACTTTTGTTTTGAATTTCTTGTCAGACAGGAAAGACACTACGAAATCTTTTAAACCTAAGTAAAATAATTTTTCCTCGAGAAGTCCAAAGTCAATTGTATCGAATGCTTTCGATAGGTCAAAAAAGATGCTTGCGATACATTTATTCATATCGAGCTGTTCATGAATCTGACATAAAAACATAAGTAGCTGTCTCTATTGAATGCAGTTTCCTAAGTCCATGCGGCGAGCTCAGTATGAGGTTGAATTATTCAGCATATCTCAAAATTCTTGAAAAAATCGCTCTTTCGATTATTTATTATTTACTTATCGTATGTGTGTATTCGTATGTGAAAAATTAAGTAATAGAAATAGTTTGTTCATACCATACGAATTTTTGACTTTCGCTCATTATATTTGAAGAAATATCAGGGTAGTTTAAGCATTATAAGCGACTATTTCCCTCGTCTTAATTTCTATCAATCAAAAACGCGCAATTTTGAGTTACAAATGGTTTATAGATGGAAAAATTGTATGACAGCACCTGTCAGCTGTTTATTCGAGTTTACCCGCTGCAAAAATTGACAGCTGTTGTCACCAAAAATTACAATACCTTTGATAGCAAGTAATTATGGTCTTCTAGGACACCAGAAAACCACGCTAAGCAATTTTTCTGATTTTATTGTCAATAAATTTTATAATTTTTTTTTAAACTGTGTTACTCAGCTTATGTTGAGAAAAGTTACCGTACAATACCGTTAAAACCCATACGTCGATATGGAAACAGCTTACGGAATTTTCTAGGGCAAAGAAATACGAGCTTCTGAAAACTACTAAGTTTAGAGCAACTAAACCCAATCATGAAAGAGTGGACGTGGAATATGAAGAAAGAAAACGGTGACAATTACAAAAAACTAGTTGTGAAGACAATGTGGAATACCGATGTATTTTATGAAGTGGAAAATAATTTTTGATCCAGTTAAAAGTATTAAGTCTAGTAAGGAAGCTCGTAATTCGAAACGAAGCAATTTGCAGGTACCTTAATAGGTAGTATGTTTTGTAAGCTATGTGTATGCAGAATAACCTGTTACTCATGAAATAGTCTTGTCAAATACCATTCGTGCACCTAATTTTTTTCCTGTGAAAAGAATCGAAAAACCACAATGCAAAGTAATATTTTTTTAACAAAAAGCATACGTGCAGGTGCAAAAATCCGAGTCAAATACGACGATTTTTGTTACCACCAGCACTAACGCTTCTTGTTGAAATATTGCTTAGCAACGTGCTTTTTCGATGTTTTTCGGAAAAATTAGATGCCCTTATGATATTACTCATGAAAATATCATTACATTTACTTTTACCCTTAAGTTGATCGTGATCTGTTGACTATACGACAAACTTTTGATGAAGCAAGATGAAGAGTTTGGTGCCGTACAAAATTGATCCTATTATTTTTTTCATAGAATCTTTCGCGTTTGTCAAAATGGCGGTCTTATCGTGACGCCGATTTGAAGCAATAATCCAACGATGGCACCAAAACAAAACCACTGTCGAATTACAAAATCTCCCTATTTCTTGGCCTAATATCAGGCGCATAATTTCACTATGGATGGGCCAATACTATGTTGGGCTCTATTTTATAGAGCGTACCGACAATTTTACGATCAAATAGGTGCAGCACTATCGTATCAAAATATAAATTATTCAAAGTGGTTCATTCATTTCGTCTCGATTACGATAATGATCTGTTACACAAGCTATACAGGGAAAACTAAGTGAAAATGGAAATGAAGACTTCCATTGATGATTAGAAGTATGTATTATAATGCTATCTAGGGATGCACTTCTTGACTTGCAATCAAGTCTAGGCCAGGTATTATATATCGTATATCAAGTAGCTTCTACGTCAAGTACTTGAAAATTCGAGTAGTCTTGATATTAGTTGATATTACTTCCTATGCCAACTGGCGAGGA